GATCTCCGTTGGTTTCTCCATACTGAGTTTAGGAAGGGCGTCGATCAAGCTCTGTTCGATTTTTTCAGGACATGTGGCCGTTTTTAGTCGAAAACATTTTTTGTGAGAACACACTTTTACGGACGTATACGGTATAGACTGAACTCATTGAACGCGATTAAAATGCGGTCGGTTTCCGGTCGGACAAGACCGCGTGGTGGGAAATTAAGCGATAAGCGGTCGATGTAAAAGCGGAAGGTTTTGCGAAATGAGTACTGTATGACCAAGTTTCTCCGACGTAGTCTCGACTGACAATAATGCTGACAATGGACGTTAGACAAACACGCATTGTTTGTAACTGGAAGCTTATCACCCATTATATCAGAGTCGTCAACATCAGAGTATACAGATTAGATGTTATCATTTAAACCCGTTCAAAGATAAACATTATGCAAATATCCACGAAACGGCAGTTGTTTCTGCTAGCGTTTTAAAACACTAATTTGAGCAACGTTATTTCACAATTCCGATCTTCCGTAAACCTGGGACGATGTATCAAGGTCTAAAGTAACCGTTTTATCAATTTTTGAAAAATCAAGAAAAAAGTGAAAATTTCTCTTCTTCTATACCTTGAACGTTCATGGAGGTAGAAAAGTTTCTCTGTCAAGAAGTACTTCACACCATCAATGTTTAATAACTCTTTGCCAAGTTTGAGAAAGGAGTTAACTGAAAAATAAGAAGGCAAATTAGTAAGACCCGATGAAATGATATGATACATAGTTGCATGGCAATGTTTATTCATTAGGATAGGGGAATACTCAGAGACAAGACACATAATACATACCAGTTATTCTGTATCCTTCTAAAGTTTGAATGCTTAGGCACATCTTTCTTTTCTCAGTTAATGTCAAGTTAGGGGTGGCAAGGCACTCTGCTTCCCAGATCAAGAAATGCCAAAAACTCTTTCTCCAACCACTGAAAAATGGAAAAAAAATATTGTTAATTGTTACCCCTAAATTTTACAACAACAAAACCATGGCTCAACAGTATCATATTTAAACCTATTGTAAAATACTTTATTTTCACTGGAATTTATTTTTTGCTGAAAACAGTTTTCATGCATCATATATGGATCTAGTTTACATTATATTGCATTAAGACATTATGCCTTCAGCAAAAACAGAAGAAATAAAATAATTTTTTCCACAGTATTAAGTATTTAATAAAAGAATGTACGCAATTAAAATGTTCTGAAAGGCTATTCAAAACAAAACAAAACAAGTACAACCATGTGCCCTATGTATAACCCAATTACATAAAAATAAAAGTTGGTATTTAGTCATTTGAAACATACCTCAAAACGCCAATCGTCCGGACTGCGGTATGGATATAATGCTGGCTTTCTTGAACTCTGACCTTGTCCCAACTCTGTCACATTCATTGCATCAAAAAAAGTATCCATTAGTGTTATAAATTTTTCCGTGGGCTTGGTATCATGTCGTCCAACAAGTTCAAATGCATGTGCCACACTTCCACTCAACACCTGTGATTAAAATTACAATAATCTGTATTAGTGGTACATTTTCATATAGCTGAGTCAAAACTCCTAACACCTTAATAGCTAATCAACTGATTATTAATATTACAGTTGAATATCACATTTAAACATTTAATTATGAAAGCAGAAACAGTTAAAATGGACCATTCTAGCCAGAATGTTGTAACCTGATCTGATTGTAATACTGGTAGGCTATTTAAAAATGCTGCAATTTAAGTATTAGACAGCCATCTCAGTTCTGGTAGTTGACATGCTAGTGAGAAATTAATTTAAATAACATTATACCTGTGCTGCTGGTTTCACACGCATGCGTAGCGAAGGTGTCAAGTATAGGTGTTCATGAGTAATTTTTGGAAGTTTGCGAAGTACTGCTTCTCTGCCAATTCCAACATCATTTTCAACAAGTCTTATTAACTGCGGCCATGTAATAGCTTGCTTCTGATACTGTAAAAGATAGATACAATGTATTTTAAGGTAACATTTATGTTACTAAGCAACATCAATAAATATTATAAAACAGTGCACATAAAAGCTTAAAGCGGGAGGGTTGTCACCTACGCACATGTGGGAATTGAGTCCCAATCGACGATAAGATACACTAAAAACACAAAGGCTCATTATTTAATTAGCAATTCTTCATTGTCTATCATGAGCAGAAGAATAAAATATAATAACCATCTCAAGCATCACAGAAATTGATACACTTGAAAAAATATATTTATGAATTGCAATTATGAAACTTGCATGCAAATTTATGGTTTTACTGCGCCATCCAGAGTTCTCCCAGTTGTTACGAGTGGTTTTTATGAGATGAGGTACATCGCAGATAAAATAAATATTCCTGGTTTTGTCGAATGGAATGACGGTGTAGTGCGTTAGATTGTCATCTTCATCATTCCCATGAAGCTTGTAAAATCTTCTGTTGGGACTAGCCCCATCAGCAACAAATGCTCTGACAAAAAAAAACTGCAAATTATAACATGTCGACTCCTTCCCACACAGAATAGTAGAGTTGTTCGCTTGAAAACCCACAGCATGGAAGCCAGGCAAATACTTCACGCAATGGGGAAAAAAGACCTCTCACCATAACAGCCAATACATGTGTTGCCAATGGGGGGATCTTCAGTTTCATCATCACCAGTATCATTTTTTTTAGATTTTCGACGTAAGTTGAGATTTCTTCATTGATACCTCCAAGGTTGCAAAAGCCTACGAGTTTCCCCGGACGATTTGTTAGAAACAAGACCACTTTTAATCTTCACCTCATAAAACACCAATGAAACATTATTTTTAAATTCTGGCATGGTGTCAAACTTTATGTCATTTTGTAAACGTTCTATCACATCTACATTGACTCCATCAGTGGTTGTTGTAAATTGGGTGTTATCCTGCAAAGTGTTCTGGTGTGGCAGTACAAGTATCTTGGACTCTCGCAGCAAACGATATGCTGAAGCAGATTTGGAATGTAGTGCAATGCACCACTTAATGACCAGAGGATGCCATCTTCGTTGATTTCTTTGTTTTGCTGTGACTTCTTTTTGTTGCTCCCAGAAAATATATTGCGGACTACCTGGAGAAAAGATAGAATGAACTTCATCATCTTTATCTTCCATTATTGAAGAGAAAGACTTGGCAGTGTCCTCATCTAATTTCTCCCCAGTTTCTACGATGAGACTTCTCAGCTTGTCCTCTAACCTATACAGTTTTCTCTTCATTTGGGTTTTTTCTTTTTGCAGATTTCTCGCCTTTTCTTCAAGCTGCTTCTTAATCATTCTATCATTTCTGGTTTTAGTCACATGTCTTTCCTTGGCATCTTCACCACCACTTTGCTTTTTTTGAGAATACAGTGCATGTAACGTGCCACGATACAATGTACAAACTGGACATCTCGATGTCACAATTCAGATGACGAATAGTCTTGAATGAACCTACATCCTGTTCGAAAGGCAAAATGTCATCGTGATTGTTTCGAAATACGGCCAACTGTTCTGAGAATGCCATCCGACACAATTCATTAAATCCAATGTTTCCTACACAAGTTACTGAGCCCATCAGAGCAACAAAAAGTCTGTGGCAGGACTCCTCACTAAGGAAACTTGGTATGTCTTTCAATACTTGAGCATTTGTAACCAATTTTCCCTGTACCGACCAATTACCAGTATTTAAAATGTCTAAGCGTATTGAAATCAGTCTGTCTTCATTACATGTTTTCCAGCACCGTACCCGATCATATTCTGTTGTGATATTAAAATCATATTCTTTCCCGAGCTTTGATGCAATGGCTAGAATAGTGTGACCTTTGTGGTTTGTATCAGCATTGGTCACATCATGTGTACTGCATAATGTGCATTCTATTGAATGTGGAATAAAATTATGAGGTACAATTTTCATATCAGTCTTCTTTCTTCTACGGATTTTTTCCTTCCAGCGATTGAATTTTACATGACATGCTCTGCATATAAATGGCGGATAGATATACGGGTCTTCTGTGGCAACATCAATGTGAAGTAATTGAGAAATACTTTTTGATACACTATCTTTCTTTATCGGTGACCTATATTTATCGCATGGAATAGCATTGTTACCATTGCATATTCTGCAGTGCGTCCTCAGCCTTTCTTTATGGTATTCCATAACCTTAAAATCCAGACAAAAAAATAAAATCTATAAATTTAACAGTATAAATTCCAATGCCTTGTCAAGCAAAAGAAGGAATATTTCCACATATCATAGTTTCATTTCAGATTTAGACTAACTCTATTGTCTTTAAAGAAAAGAAGGCCCATATTATATTGTTTTACACAGGCTTTAAAAGTCCCAGTTTTTTGGCAAAATACAGTGACCATATATTTTGTTATGGATTCGTAAAAAACATAGTAAAAATAACTACAGCGTAAAATATCATGGAAATCAGACGTTAACTTAAATGATAAAAATGACAGCAAACTACCTTGACTCAGTGATCTCTTACTACGAAAACACGCTCAAAATGTGTACCCAAAACATGCACTATAAGAAGAATATTCAAAATCACACAGTACACGTACATACAAATTGTAGCTTAAAGAGGTTTATTCTGTTTTGAAAGTTTACCCCAGAATACAACGAAAGATAAATAAACACGTACGAGTGTTCGTAATGTCCCAAACCATTGCAACAAAATGCGCGATTTTCAACATCTGCACAGTTCTGCACACCCGTGAAAACTTCCATGTCAAAACATCTTGTTATAAACTTACCATGTATGTTTAAATTTCACTGCGGAAATTTGCGGAATTGTTTTATATCACAGCTCAAAGTTGGTCGACTTCTGCGATGGAGAATGCCAGGAAAGATGTAATCACTCGCACTAGGAGCGTCCGGCTCCAAAATTTCCGGTACCTACAAATGTGAAATGACCTTTGTGATCCGATAAAGGTCAATGCGCATGCACAATTCTTTTATTTATGGTTTGCGCATTCGATTTTTTAGACGGAATTTTTATTTTTCAGTTTCTTGTGTAAATAAGCGGCTATCATCATGCAGATGAAACGACTTCTAAATAAATACGATAAGTGGTTTAACCAGGGCAAAGACAAAGAATGTTTATAGGATTAAAATGGGCTTAAATAGCGTCCACACTCCTTCTCTTTTCTACCTCCATGCTTGAACGTGTTCCACGAAAATCTCAAGAACCGTTCTTGATATTTCGATGAAATTTGGTACATGTTTGGGGTATTCCTCAGACCTGATTAGTTTTTGGGCCAAATTTGTTTAGGGTAATCTAGTTAATTTGCATATGGTTTTTACTGAATTGGAATTATCTCGTGGACAACTCAACAGATTAGGATAAAATTTGGTAGACATATACATTGATGTAATCTGCATGACATATTACTATTGGGGATAATTTGCACATGTGAATTATCTATTTAGCTAATGCTTCAATTGAGATTATCTTTTTGATAAGATGTCCTAGAGGACGTACACACCTAGAAATGTGGTTGGGGTGTGCCATCGGGACCTCCAAATCAATGTACATTGGTGTAATCTGCATGCCATATCTCTTTTTGGGATAATTTTCATATGCAGATTAGCATATTGCTTTTACTAAAATGGGATAATCTCGTGATTAAATCAATGGAGTTCAATCATATTTGGTAGGCATATACAGTGCATTGATGTAATCTGCATGACATATTACCATTGGGGATAATTTGCATATTGTTTATAGTAAATTTGGATTATCTTTCAAACAGTGTACTTAAAGTGTTCATTGAATGATGTTAGGGCAGTGGGGAAAGTGCAACATCCTCCCCAGTGGAAGGCAACACAACGAGAGAAGAGTAGGGAAAACCGCTTTTTAATGAGGGGGAGGGGGAAATGAATTTGGTCAGCAGGAGGGCATGTCGGCGGAAGGGGAGTAGGCATAAAAGTGTGTTTTAATGAGGGGAGGGAAAAACTAATTTTGTCAGCAGGAAAGCAAGACAATTGTTTTTCAGGTGGAGGGTAGCTTATGAACAGCTTTTAATTTCCCCTCTTTCTTTTATATTAATTAGCATACTTCATAAGGCACATAAAATAAATGTTGTCCCAGTGAATTGACTATTTCAATTTATTGCTCGTTGGCTGCACCTGATATCATAAAAGTATTACTTGTATTACATGTACAAGGACTGGGAGTGTCATTCGATATGATCCTTCAGGTTACAGTGGGTATATACTGTCTAGTATTCCGGTAATAACCTTCAAGTTGGTGTTATACATCTTTTAGGAACACTCTGACGGTATAAATCGTGAACTTGTCAAACTCCCAGTTAAGGTAGAAGCGTGCTCATGAATTGAAAAACCCAGAATGTATAAATTGTACTTAGGGGGAGTAGAAGAACATTGACCTAAAAAATGGGGTCACCAGTTTAATTTACGAGAAAATGATGGTTGTATTTTAGTGGATAGTAGTCATTTTGGTAGTATTATTGTGCTTTTACCATCGTTTCCTATGGAAATATATTGCCATATCTCAAATTGTAGTCTGGTGACACAGGCTTTAGGTCAAGTTTCTCAAAATACGTCACTTGTAACACACAAACGAGTGTTATTTTATGGTGCCATGGGACAATAGCTTTGTGATTTTAATAAACCAGTGAACATTGACATGCGATTGATGGCCAACTTTCTCAAAAATTAGGAGTAGTCTTCTACCTTAAGTGACATATTTTGAGAACATAACGTTCAAAATGAAACTTCATGCACCCTTATTTGGAATTTTTAATAAGGTAGAGGAACGCATACTTGGCGCGACTTTGGGTAAAATAGGATTTGACCAGATTGGGTGAATCCAAGTTGTCTTGGAGTTTTATAGTGTAATCACAAATCGTACTAGGATAAACAAAAACACTAGCTTCCTATAGTAATTCCACATGAGTTTTATAAGTTCCCAATCGATACTAAAAATGTAACCTACCAGAATAAATCGTCCTATTTGTACGTACAAGTTCTCGTCAGATCGCATGCAGACGACGAAGTGCCGACAATAACAAACTAGCAGACTGCGATAACAGTGCAACTTTATATGTTTATTGCGTAACGATTCCTTCCAACAGTTCACTAACAGGTAGGTAAATACAAGATTCAAATCTCCACGTTTGCTGTATAAGCAAAGTGATAAACCGTCTAAATCGAAGAGAAACCATAAAACTACTATGCAGCCGTCCAGTCTTGTAAACAAACTGTCGAGTTCTAGAACAGCTGCCAATAGGAGCACCCC